TATCTATTGCCATATAGTGCAGTGTAACAGCAAATCAGAGGCATATAGTGATAGCATTTATGGCTCACTAGTCTGGGGTGGTCACCTTGGTCTGGCCCTCTAGTGGGTCTGGGCTCAGTTGCTCTTGACTGATCTGGGATGGCCTTGAAGTGACTCAGTTGTGTTCAATATGCTTGCCACCCCTCTCCTGGGACAAACTGTCTAGGCTGGGCATGTTCTTCTCATGGGGATGGCAGAGAGCAAGAGTGAGCAAGCCCAATGGTGAACGGACCTTCCAAACCTCCACATACATCATGGTGGCCAACATTCATTGGCCCTACACATGCCACATGGCCAAGCCCAGAGTCATAGAGGGGGGGCACTGCAGAGTTACCTGGCAGTGAGCATGGATATGAGGAAAGGTGACTAATGGGGACATTAATGCAACAAATCTATTATAATTACCTGAGTTTGCCTCAGTGCTTCTCATTCATCAGTGAGACATGTTGCTAATTCTCATCCTGACTGTATCAGCACTCCCAGAGGAAAAGTCTGGAGGGCAAGGACTGTTAATCTGGGCACACATAAGTGTTACCAATGATGACAGTTGTACTTTTAATTGACCTAGCAGACCTGCTTTTGGTGGGAGTTGGATGGGATGGGTGAAGAAAAGCATTAAGTGTCTGATAAAGTATTCTTTTTATTTTTAAAGGTAATTGGTTGCATTAAGGAGAGATGCTAGTATCCCAATTAAAATAATTTTGCTTCATGCAAGATAGTCGGTGCCATCAAGATAATGACCAAAGAATTTTGTATTTCTCTTATAAAGAAAACAAATTAAAAATCATGATTATTCTCTTAAATGTCTTCCTCAGGCTTCATAGATATGCCTCTGGTCCCCCACCTAACCCCAGCCCCAGCCTAAACAATGAACAATGCCTTCAGTACCAGTGGACTGTGTACAGTGGTGGCACCTTGGCTTATTAAAGTGGCTTTGGGTGGATCACTACACTGACTAATTACCCTAATTGACCTTCAGATTGGCTAAAATTTGCCTGACTTAATGAAGCTCAATTCTTGTCAAGCTCCCTAGGCTGGATGGCTTCTGGCTCAATCACTTTTTGCTTTGATTTTTCATTTTTAATAACAATTATACCACACAGCTTAAGGAAATATGATAAAATATGTCAGTAATCATGAAGAGCCTTGAGCAGCTGTATTCATGGAAGGATTTAAGGCTTCAGATTTTTGAGCCTGTGTGAAATCACCCTCTACCCCCAAATTTGACCTTGGCTGGTATGTCTTACCTCATAGTAGTGAATACTAATACTATTATTCTTAAAAGATTTTTCTAAACATCTGTCCAAATGACAGGACAGACATTAAATGGTCAGGCATTTACTAAATATCATCAACCCAGCCTAGACTTGAGTGTTAACTTTTATTTCTGAAAGTGAAGATGGCACTGAGTTGCTCTGATACATAGCCAATTCTGCCTAAAGACTGGCATACAAAAAGCTTCAATTGCAGGGAACCTTCAGCAAAGAAAGCAAGTTTTCTTCCTTAAGGATAAATGGGATTGATTAGTAGTAGCTGCTTGGAGTGCTGTGTTGAGAAGGATCACGAAGTAGTATTTGAGCTCAGCATAAAATAATGCTGTAATCGATTAATCATGTCTGCTGTGGGCATGGAAGGGAAGAGTTATGGCATACTTGCCATTCCTATCCTAGTTCATAGTTTCTGATCTTGTTCTTTTTAGATAACTCTTCACCTTTTAGTTATTGCTTAGAAATGCGTCTCTATTTTTTTTTTCCAACTTCCACCCATGCTTGAGTCCCTGAATTAGTCTTCTGCCAGATCTATGCTTTACTGGCCATTTTTTGGTTTTGGGTCGGCATCTGAATTCCTTTTCTGTGTTTGGAGAATTCCTCATTCTATGAATCTTGTATAAGAAACTAAAAGGGCCAGAACATTTGTTTTCACAAGATAGTGTCTTCCCAGCACCTCCCTCCTGTACCCTTGCAACTATTATAGGTGTGGACACATGACCCAGAGTTTTGGTCTCTACTTCATCCAGATAACAATCAGGTAACTCTGCCTCAGACTTTGAATCAAAAGCTATGGACACAAAGACACAGGATGTCTTAACATTTCTGAGTTCTGTCCATTCTGTAAACTAACAGGACAATTTTTCTCCTTAAATCAGCTAGAACTAGTTTCCAATGCTTGAGACTAAGAACTTGATTGATGTAATAGGTCTTATAGGGACATGTTCTTCAAACTTTATAGTGTGAAGGAATCACCTAGGCGTCTTATTAAAATGCAGATTCTGATTAAAATGCAGGTCTGGGTGGTGCCTGGAGTTTTTACATTTCTAATAAACTCCCAAGAAATGACTCTCATGATGCTAGCTTGTGGCCATATATGTATCCACACGCATACACACACACACATACACACACAATGATTATGAAATTCTACTCTATTAGCAATTTTGAAATATACAATGCATTATTAGGGTATGGTTTTCAACATATACATGTATTCAAGAAATTTTTCATCAATTACAATTTTCAGTATTCATTTTTGTTTTTATTTTTTTGCAGGGAACTGTGGGAAACATATATTGAATTTTCTTTGCCTATATTCAATATTTATCACTCTTTCACAAAATTTTTTTAGCTCTTCTTTAAAAAAATTTTTTTGGATTTAAAAATTTTCTTTCTTTTCTCCTTTTATTTCTCTTAAGGCATTTGCTGTTGTGTTTATTCATTCTTGTTTAGTGTTGTCTATGAAATGATTTTTCTTTTGTTTATAGTTCTTTCTTAGTTTCATGACCTAATTCTTTAGTTTTTTCTCATTCTAATTTGTGCTGGTCTTTCATATCTTATATCATTTTCTTAATGTATTTTGTTTTATTTGGAATGGTAGCTTACAGTTTTAATCTATTTTATAAGCATATCTTTCCAGAATGCTTTCAGTGTGTGTAGGGATGATATATGCCTTATTCTCATTTTTCTTACAATAACTTTGTATGAGATTTGACCTCAATGTTTAAGTTGCTCATTTTTGTGAATATTATCTTCCTGGAGGTTTAGAAAGAGGCTTGATGCAGATAGCTTTTCTAGCTTCTCAGAGCTCTCACTTCTGTTATTTTTGTGTGATGTTAAGAAGTATGGTGGCTTGGTTGGTGAGAAAGACTAGCTCTGCTCGTCACCCCCACTTTATCTTGACCTTCTCTTTCTTTTGTCTCTATTGTCCTTGTCAATTCAATTTTGGTTACACTTTCAATAGTTTCTCCTCTGTCTGGGGCCCTGTCATGGAAGAGCCATGGCAGATCAGTTTCAAGTGTTCACTGCACTATCTCCTGCAGACCTTCTTACCCCAGGCTCTGCCTCTTGTTGCCTTATGATTGCAGACATAAAAAGTTAAATAACTTTTTGAAATTTCAACTTCTTCACTTGAAGAAATGTTTTTAGAATAGTTCCTTTCTCATAGTGTTTTTATAGGAATAAAATGATTTAATGTGTAAAGATACTAGCTGAGTATCTGGCACATTGTATATACCCCCAAAATATGAGCTCACCAATAACCCACATTATTCCCAGACAGTGATTTAATACATTTTGCCAAATGAGTAATGTCAACTTTCCATATACTTTATTATATTTTAGGTGATAAAATGTCAACCTAATTCAGCGTTAAACCAAACTAAGTTATACGTACATGTAAACATACATTATGGTAATTAGTGCAAACAGGAATTGAGATATTTGTTCACAGTTCTTCTTCTGACCAATAACAGATATCAAGAATGAGTGGATTAATGAAATATGGTATATGTATATAATGGAATACTACTCAATTACAAAAAACAATAATAATCTAGCACCTCTTATATTATCCTGGATAGACCTTGAGCCCATCCTCCGAAGTGAGGTATCACAAGAACGGAAGAATAAGCACCACATGTACTGACCAATAAATTGGCACTAATGGATCAACACTAAGGTGCTTACATGGTAGTAATATTCACTGGGGGTTGGGGGGTCGGGGTGGGTAAACTAGCAACTAATGGAAGTGGTGAACATTGTATGGGGGAAGGGCACACTTCTAATCCTGGCTTGGGAGAGGCAAAGTCATGCATGTAACCAAAATGTTTGTACCCCCATAATATCCCGAAATAAAAAACAAAGAAATTTGCCTGAATAGTCCTGGATAAATGTATTTATTTGGAAGACATACAGGTTGTTTACCATCTTCTTTCATGTTTATCTTCATTTATATCCCATATACATTCAGACAATTATGAACAAAGCAGCACCAAGGTGATCGTTCAGGGACAGTTTCATTTTATTTTCACGCAGGCCTGCTTCCTATTTTCACAATGTGGAAATGATGTGTACTTACGCATTGTTAGATGATTTGGGTTTGTTTATTCTTATTTACCTTGAAGAATAACTAAGAATTTATTTCTGGAACATAACAGCTATGTCATCATTGCACCTTGAGAGAGGCATTTTTGAGATTGTTAGATGTTTCACGTTTCTGTTTCTATCAAGTATAAACAGTGGATCTAGAAAGTAGGAGATTGCACAGTGGCAAAGTTTTAGAGGTGCCTTCAAGGCTCAGATCTTCATCCAAAGTTCTCCCCATTTCTGCTTGATGCCTAGATTTCTCCTTTTCTCAAGATCCTGAGTTCTTGAACTGTATCATGATTAAAAATCTCTGCATTAATGAAGGATGAGTGCACACCTTTGATAGGAGAGGCCTAGAGTGTATTGAGCTACAGGCCATATATGTAACTTTCTAGATGACATATAATACACTTAATTCATAGGCATCCGTTAATCATTGGTCTTTGTTTTCCTTTGATATGATAAGCTCTGGGAAAATTAACAAGAGTTAAACATTATTTGCATGGGTAATGAAAGCTAAAAAATAGTTTAGAAAAAATGAGCAATTCTTCTATCCCTTAATTGTGTGTTGTTTTTTTTTTTTTTTTTTTGTTTTACCTATAGCTTCGAAAAGCAGTGATGGATCACATATCTGATTCTTTCTTGGAAACCAACGTCCCTTTGCTAGTTCTCATTGAGGCTGCAAAGAGTGGGAATGAAAAGGAAGTGAAAGAATATGCCCAGGTTTTCCGTGAACATGCCAACAAACTGGTGGAGGTAAGTCAGGAGAGGCCTGAATTTATCGACGAGTATAATCTCTACATGTGGCTCTTGGAATTTCAGTAGAGAGCTATTCTATGGTTTTCTTGGAGAAATACAGTTCTGGAATCTTCCTTTCCTTTACCTCCTAATACTCCACCCTTTTCAAAGGAAAGAGCTTATCAGTAATCTCTTTTCTCTCTGTGCCACAACTCTAAGCATGCTCTGAAACATACCTGCCAATTTTCCTGAGCAATAGGTAGAGGCTGAAACTGGGGAAGCAGAAGGGACACTACAAAGCATTGATTTTTGGGAGTAAATTAAAACTGCCAAATGGAAACCTAGAACACTGTTCCCTTTTCTTCCTCCTCAAACCCCTGTCCACTCCACCCACTGAAGCCTAGAGTAGCTGGCCACACTGGAAACTTGTGAAAAAAATCCCACTGCTCTCAAAAAGATGTTTGAACACCTGGTGAAAGATTTTGGGGGCAGTACAAGGGTAAGTTTAGGATCATAAGTATAATTTATGTGTTAGAGGAGTCTGTGGGAGTTGCTTTATAAATGCAAAATTGCACTGTGTCATATTGAAACAAAATATTGTACAAGGGACATGATAACTAGGCTGCCTAAATTTAGGAGCTAAAAACCAACAGCTTGACAAAGGTGGGATTAGTGATGTGGGACTAAATAGAAAATAGAGGTGTTACACAAGAAATGTGTGTGCTAGAGAAAGAGAGCCCAGGTGGGGTGAGGAACCTGCAAAATCTAGGGAATAGTTATTAGGGCCACGTTTAAACTTTTGCAGTCTCTGAGCACTTAACACTACCACCACTACCATTGTGGTACACTCCACTTTAATTCATAATAAAATGAAATCACTCAAAATGACAGACAACATAAATGCAAGCTTGAAGGAAAATAAGTTCTTTTTTTGTTTTCTTTGGATAGCAAAGTTAACTTCTTTATAAGTTCATAGAATATAAAATCCTCTGTATTTTTCTGGGAGTGGGTGATGGGAGCGGTGCTAAATTTAGTTGCACCCTAATCACCTGCTTAGTTTGTTCTTGGGTTAATCCTGCACTGCTGCTGCCTCTGGGGCTAAAAACACCCAGCCAGCAGGAAGTCCTACCTTAAGCCCCTGTTTTTTAGGACACAGGCTGAATCATCACCCATGACAGCAGTCAGCAAGTTCTATGGGCAATAGCCTAGGCCACGATAATGGAACCTCTGAACTTCCTGTCACAACCCCAGCGTCTGCAGACAACACCAGTTTACGGCTAAAAATAGGGTAATACTCCCAGTATCAAGCCTGTCTTTCTAGCTGTGTCCCCATGTACAAGACAAGTACCCCGTGACCTCTCACCTTCCACTCACATGCTCTGAGAATTCACCTGGCTATGAAGGAATCTAGAATCTTTCCAAGGTTAACCTTGGGATCCCTGGCTGCTTCCATGTTTGGAGGAGGAGAACGTGGAGAAGGAGGGGGAAATCGGAGGCAGGAGGAAGCGGAAGAAGAGAAAGAGGAAAAGAAATAATGCTAAATGCGAGTTACAAGTTTAATTTTCACAGGTAATAAAATAACGTTAGTATACAAATATATTGCCCCATCCGTGTAATTACAGTATGTACAAGATAATTTTAGAATTTATGGAAACTATTAGTTAATAGTATGTTGAAGGAACTATGGATGAAGAAAAGGACATGAATTTGAAATCGTGTGATAAACATATCCTACTTTTAAGTCCTGCCAAGATCTTTCGGTAACACTGTGTGTAGCCTCCTTTGCAGATCATATCTGAAACTCAAACTTGACACCCTGTGTAAATGTGTAAGACCAGGGCTGAAGTGCCATCTTTTCCACTCATCCCCCTTCTTCTGTGATAGAAGGATACATACACCATTTCCCCTCATCCTGTCCTTAGGTTCCACTGTAGGTGAATCTGGCTGCTATAGCGATTCTTGATCCTCAACTTGTGGCAAAAAGAGAAAGCTCGTGTCAGTCACAGCTCCACACTTCAGAAAATTCTGGCTTTGCCTTCCTCTGGTGGTATTCCCTTCGTTACCCCTGGGTGGTCACCGCAGCCGGCCACATTTTAATGTCCTGATGCCCAGGAGATGCAGGGGCTATTGTGTGCACTGGCCTCTGTTTGACTGGAGAACTGAAATCTAAAGAATTACTGTGGTTTATGTCCTCCAAACAAGTTCTACATCACTGGTGCCTATATGCAAAAACACTTAAAGCACCAGGCTGAACGTTACCCTTTTTCTAGTTTTGAAAATTGTTTGCGTAAACTTGGGCACCTTTCTAGGCCTTAGTTTTTGTGTCTGTAATACAAAAAAATTCAGTTGGTATATTGATTTTATGTCCATTGACCTCGATAAATTCATGCACTAATTCTAAAAATTTGACTGTTTCCTTTTGGATTTTCTACGTACACAGTCATGTGCCTACAAATTATGCAAGTTGTATTTCTTCTTTCCTAGTCCTTATGCTTTGTTTTTTCCTTACGTTATTGTGCTGGCTAGGATCTCCAGCACAATATTGTTGTAGTATATATTTTTGTTATTTCCAGACCGCAGGGGGAAAATTTCAATACTTTATCATTATCTGCTCTAGATTTCTTGAAGATACTTTTATTAGATAAAGTTATTTCTATTACTTATTTGCTAAAAGAGTTTTTTTAAAAAATAATTATGAATAAATATAGAATTGTATCAAATGCTATTTCTGTAGATGTTGAGACAATTATATTTCTTGCCTCCTTTATTTTCCTTCAGAGATGCTGGCATCAAAGTTACACATTCACTCAAAAAAATAAGTTGGAAATTACTCTTTCTATTTTTTTTTTTTTTTGGAATTGAAAGTATAAGAGTAGCATTATTTATTTTTTAAATATTTGGATGAGTTCACTGATAAAGCAGTGTGAACCTGCGGATGAATTTGAGGAAAGATTTATAGCCATAAGAATATTTAAATATTCTATTTCTTTCTGGGTCAACTTTGTTTAGTTGTCTTCTAGGAATTTGTCATTTCATTTACTTTTCTAATTTATTGACATAAAATCTTGTATAATACACTTATGATTTTTGTTTAATATGTGGGACTCGACATTGCTGTCTCTTTTGTCTGCACTCATCTTAGTACTGTTAATAATTGGCACCTTTTTCTCTGTTTTCTTGATTAGTTTTGCCAGTGGTTTATCAATTTAATAGTATTTTCTAAAAAATAAAAGTTTTCAGCTTTGTAGACTTTGTTTGTATTCTATTTTATTTATTTCTGCTCTTATCTTTATAGTTCTTTTTGCTTTCTTCCAGTATAACTTAATGTTCCTTTTCTAACTTATTGAAATGGATAATCATGTCATTAATTTCTAGCCTGTCTTATTTTAATACTATCCGCATTTAAGGATATAAATTTCTCTCTAAGCTATGCTTAAGTCTGGTTATTTTCTACTGTCCTAATTTTTAGCTCACTCATCCATCTGTGTCCAGTATACTTGAAATTTACCTACTGAGTTCTATTTTTTTTTTCCCCCAAAATTCTAGTTGATTCTTCTTTTTAAAATTGATTTCAGTTCTCTAGTAAAATTCATTATCAGGTCATCTCCTTTAAAACATATTAATTGCAGGTTACTTAAGAAGTCTAAGCCAAAGAACTTCAGTATTTGGGTCAACTTCGTTTCTGTTTTATGATAGCCCCACAGATGGTAACTACCCCCACACACCCAAAATGGGCTTGAATGTTAATACTGATGAGGCAACACATCCACCAAGAGGATATAAACAGGTTTATTACTCACATATTGGGACTTCCAAGGGCAGGAGAATGGGCACTCAAGCTTGTCCACAATGATTTGTGCAAAGAGAAGAATGAGTGGCTTTAGTTATCATATTAGGATGTGTGTCTGGGGTCAGAATTTCCACATTGGGGCCAGGATTTGAATGATTTGAACTTTCCAAGTAGCACCCACAAAAGGTCGGTTTTCTTATCAGCTTGCACATTTGTGGGGCAAGAGGGAAATGGGCGAAGAGTAGGGTTTAAAAAACTGTCAGCAAACATTCAAGATAAAGTAAGACTATTGATTACAATCCATCCCCAATGTTTCCCTGATGGCTGGAATGTGGCATGTTTTATTTGCTTGAATTTGGGCTTGTTTAAATAAACTCTCACTGGACTCTATGAGGCTTTCAAAATGGAGACAGACTTTATTATAGATCTGTTTTTATTATTTGATTTTTCCTCACGGTTATGTTTTTTGATGTGCCAGGTAATCTGGGATTGAATGAGAAACATTTGTGTGGAGAAATGTAGAGTCTGGGTAATGTTTTCTTCTTTCAGAGAGGATTCACCTTACTTTCTGTTGGGCAGTGGAGAGGCAGACCACCTCAGTACAATCAAAGCTTCAAGCGACTTGAGCTAGTTTGTAGTCTTTCTAAGTCTAGTCTCCCCTTCTTTTACCACAGTCCTGCAGACTAATCTTCCTCAGACTCAGCTGTGTTACTTAGGATCTACTTCATTCATGGTTTCCCTACACCAGGTGACTGCTAGAAACTTTGCTTTCCTTTTGGATGGTCTCAATATTTGCTTGTATTTTTAAATTTTTTATATTTTTTTATTTCAGCGTAGATAGTTTCTTCCTATTAGAAAAGTGTTTAGGCTACATATATTGCCTTTGCCCCATCCGAATCAGAGCTTCAAGCATGTCCATCCCCCAGATGGTGCCCAAGGCACCCATTAGGTATGTATATACTCATCCCCTTCTCCCCCCTCCCATCTGCCCAACACCCGATGAAAGTTATTACTATATGTACACTTAAGTGTTGATCAGTTAATACCAATTTGATGGTGAGTACATGTGGTGCTTGTTTTTCTATTCTTAGGATACTTCACTCAGTAGAATGGGTTCCAGCTCTATCCAGGATAATACAATATTTTTTGTGGCTGAGTAGAACTCCATGGTATACATATACCACATTTTATTAATCCACTCACATATTGATGGGTTGTTCCACATCTT